CCATCCATCCATCATCTATCCATCCATCCATCCACCCACCCACCCACCCATCCATCCATCCATCCACCCATCCATCCACCCACTCATCCATCCATCTATCCATCATCTATCTATCCATCCATCCATTCATCCATCCATCCATCCATCCACCCACCCATCCATCATCCACCCATCCATCCATCCATCCATCATCTATCCATCCATCCACTCACCCATCCATCCATCCATATTATCATATGTGCAGTATCAACATGATATCAGTATTTAATTTTTAAAATATCAAGGTTATCATCAAAACTTATTTGGTATGTTGCAATACCCTTAGGAAATAAGAAATACAGTTTCTGAAATGTTCAGAGAACAACTATGCCCATGTCACATGATGACCAGTACACTCTCAGGAAAAAGGGAACAAAAGTTACTAATATATAAACTTTAGTTACTAATATGTATCTTTAAAGTACTCACATGCAGCATTTAGGGGTAAATAAGGTATCTTTTAGCTTATGTATCTTAGGGTAATGCCCCAGTGATGGGGATTGATTCTGAGATGAGTCACTCTTATTGTATGAGGGTCAGTGAGTTGTTGCTCTGTTAAGGTATCGGTCATAATCTAATGGACTAATCAGATGAAGAGTGACCACAGTGCCTTCGTAGAACTGCTGACACACAGGCCATTTAAACTCAACAAGAGCCACTCATACTTAGAGAAAGGGGATAGATGGAGAGACAGGGAAGCAATAGAACAAGACGACAGTGACTAAGAGAAGGAAAGAAATCACAAGATTGCAAACAAGTGACAAGGAGAGACTGATATAACAAGCGGTTATATTAGCGAGTGTGGGGAACAGAAATATCCTGCCTTGTCGCTGCCGGTTTTTCAGCAAAAGGACAGTAATTGTTCTTGGGTTGTGCAGGAAAACTCCAGCACGATTGACCTCTTCTCCTGTGTCGTAGTTTTGAAGACAATACTCTTGCTCACTGACAGACCCCATTATCAAATCGCTTTGAGAGCAGACCATGAGTGCCCTGTCAAAGCCTCATCTATCTGTGTCCTGTCATCTTGCTGTGGCCGGGTCTGCTGATGTTCTGCTGAGAACGGCCTTTTAGCACGTCACAGAGTGGCAAAATTAGGATGAAACTCACCCAAGAGTACATTTTGTAGATAAGCAATCCCAGCAGCCACACTTCATGACCGTTCTGTGGTTCTTTTCTGAAACCTAGCATAGACGGTAAGGCAGCTCACTGTAACTTCTCTACATCTAGAGCCACTTTATGGTAATAAGACTATTTCTTCCTATGTAAAATTGATTTTTAAGCATGAAATGAAATTTAAAATTAATCTGGTTTTACTTTATAGCTTGTTTGAGGATTGCAAACGTACCGTTTTTCTTACCGTTTCAGATATTTGGAAGGAAACCTCCTCACCACTGTGCCCAAAGAGCTTGCTAATCTGAAACAACTGACACTGCTGTATGTATTTCTCCACTTTTCATTTGAATTTATTCATTTGGCACACACTTTTACCTTTAAGGGACCTATTTGTGCATTAAATGCATTCATTTGTATGTTTGTTTTAAAGGGGTGGTTCATTGCGATTTCACTTTTTTAACGTTAGTGTGTAATGTTGCTGTTTGAGCATAAACAATATCTGCAAAGTTACGAAGCTGAAAGTTCAATGCAAACGGAGATATCGTCTTTTAAAATTCTGGCAGTTTAATGCCTACAAAAACGGTTGGTAGGGACTACAACGAGTTACTTCCCGGGTTCGTGACATCACAAACCCAGATAAACCCCGCCCTCGGGAAAAGACAGCAAAAGGGGGCGAGGCCATGCTGCGCTGCTTTAGAGAAGAGGAAGAGAAAACTAGAGGTGCACGTAAAAATCTGTTCATATATGAATCACGATTCTGTCTTCTAACGATTCTAATGGATTCACAAGTTTCAAAATCAATGTTCAAAAGCAGCGGTTCTTAATACTGTTCCTCGCGTCCGCTGCTCTGCACACGCTCTGCATCTCTCTCACTCTCTCTCTCTCTCTCTCTCTCTCTCATTCAGCTCAGCTCCAACAATGAACTGTTCCAATTATACACTTATTTTCACATAGCTTTGAGAAGCGTTAAACATGCAGCGTGCAGTTGCCGTACTGTATTAAAAATTTAATCAGGATAAAACCGTATATTAAAAGCTAACATAAGCAGTAGCATTTACAAATAACAGCGTATCTAAAAGTATGAGACAACAACAAACAATAAACATAGGCCTACCATTAAAAGCCGTACTTGCACAGGTTCTGCACGATCCTCTTCAATAATATCCTCTGCTTCTCAGTCGGGCTCAAACTGATAAGCGATGTTAACGACGCCTTGTTTACAATACAACTGGAGCACATGCCGCTGAGGTGAGGGGCGGGACGGTTAGACATGCACTAGCGGTGGTTTAGCCAATCACAACACACTGGTCTAGCAAACCAATCAGAGCCCATCGCCTATTTCTGAGGGAGGGGCTTCATAAAATAGTTTTTTTTTTTAAACGAAGCATTAACACATGTTAGACTGCACACCATAAACACAATCAAGCCTAGAAAAAAAACAGTGAACCACCCCTTTAAGCATACAGCATTATTTTTATTTCTGAAGCTGCGGGAATTTAACAATTTTAGGAAATATGAAGCACCTGTATACACACAAAAAAGTTTGTAATACTTACAAAAAAAAAAAGACAATAAAAATGTGACAGTAAAAACCTGTTAATTGTTTAAGTGTAAGTTACTTTAGCATGCATGGTGAAAATTGTAAACAATGCTTTTTATGTAATTTTACTGTAAAATACTGTCAAAATAATGATTTTTGCAAGTAAAGGCTATGAATTAATGTATAATTTACAGTGAAAAACATGAAAAATATCACATTCAGTTATATATTTTATTTAAATAATTTGGTTTCTTCTCATTTTTCTTATCAGCAATGTACATTAGGGTGTTTTTATTTTTATTTTATGCTTTTCTTAGTGCCTTGTTACCCTGATGCTGCTTTTCTCTTTGTTTGTATGACCCTATGCACCATTGATATATAAAAATATTTTATGGACAAGTTACTATACAAGTGACTATATTGTGGCATGTGTACTTAGATGGTAATTTTCTGCACATTTTTTAAGGTACAAAGCAAATTTTGGTGCTTTTTATGTATCTTGGTATAACATTCAACTACTTAAGGAAATAAAATAAGTTGTAAAATGTACAGTCACCAACATGCCATCCCATAATCCCTCAAATATTATAACTGAGTGAGTTTCTGGCAACCACAACTGCCTTTTTTGTTGTTGCATAAATTAATCAGGATATTATTTGAAGTATACGGTTTAGTTTTTATGCATGTCTGAAGTTATTAGTTAATAACCTTTACCTATCCAGGATGAAAGTAACTGCGATTAAATCGCTTTTCTAAGAGTAAGTCGGCTTTGGATTGTGAAGGCATGCTGTAGACGTTGTTCTGAGGGTGTGTGTAATTGAATCTGCTGTGTGTTTGTGTGTGTTTCCTCTGCAGAGACCTCAGTAATAACAGCATCAGTCTTCTTGCCCCTCTCACCTTCAACAACCTGACGCAGCTCGCCACCCTGTAAGTAACACCGTAATCCAACAATCAAACACAGTTTCTGTGTCCACATATGTTTTTGTCAGTGCAGTCATGTGAATGTGATTACTACTGCCAAAAGATTTGGCAGAAATGTTGACATTAAATGACAGTTTCTTTGTCTGTGTGTCTCACTCATATTCGCTCTCTCTTTCTCTGCAGTATCCTGAGCTATAATCAGATTCGCTGTGTCCCGGTTCATGCATTTGATGGCTTGCGTTCTCTCCGCCTGCTGTAAGACTCCCTTTTGTTTTTCACCTGATGAGCCAGTGATCTGCTGCGCAATCACATCAATCTCTCTCTCTCTCTCTCTCTCTCACACACACACGCACACTCCCCATGCACCACAGCACCTCTGTGAGATCCTAATAACCTGCCTTATGAACTTCAGGAGATTACTGCCTGAACAAAGCTGCTTTAGAACAGCATGTTCACAGCATAAGGAAGTTCTGAAGGAAGAAAGCAATAGATTTTAAGAGCACTTAAGTCCCATGGGTAAACTTTTTTCTTTTGGTTGTATGAAAGTCACATTAAAATGGTCTCGGAAACTTTTTAATATGTCTTTATTTTTGTTACTTACCAGACTACTTGCAGACTCAAACTCAAAACTACATAGAATTTTTTTTTTTTTGAAGTTGTAAATTAAAGCAAAGATTATTGGAATTCATTTTACAAAAAAAAAAAAAATGCTATTTCAGTTTGTCTACTTTAAAATTGTGTGTTTAATTCAATGTGTTACTTGTTGTTGTTTTTTTAATTATTTCTACACCTATTTTTTTCAGTGTATGAAAGTCCATTACAATATTACTTTTGCTATAAAAATGTAAATGTATAATATTCTAAGCAGAGTGTAAAATAAGTATAAATCATTGAAATATTAATTATGCAAAAATTACCGTACCGTTCAAAAGTTTGGGAAATTTTTGTGGAAACCTTGATGTTTCTTAGAACAGATAATTTAAAAAAAAAAGTATATATATAATTTATTTGAAATAGAAGTCTTTTGTCAGATTTGATCAATTTAATAAAAAAGTTAATTTCTTAAAACAAAATCTCTGATTCTAAACTTTTGAATGGTAGTGTGTTCCTCCTTAGCTGTTCCTTAGTTGAGAAAAGTCAAGGTAAATATCACTTATGAACAAAATATTTTTGATTGTGCTATAATTCTGTCAACTTTATCTTATGAAAAAAATGGGATTAAATATTGAACGTGTATTTATGGTACTAGAAAATGAAATTAGCCTTAGTAAGTCAACGTTTCTATTGAAAATATAATTTCCATCACATATTTATTTGGCATTTTGAGATGTGGTGGAAAAAAAAACATTTGTCCATGGATAAAAAGTTCTGAGATGCATGTATTATTCGCTCTTGTAAATTATTAGGAGACAAATAAATGAGTGAGTTTGAAATGTGTGATCATATTTTAAGAAACATTCTGTCTGCATTAAGCTGGATGTTGTGTTCTGCGGCTCTGGGCAGGATAGGTTATCAACACCCTGTGTGCACAGATATGTTAAACAGCCCAAAGGACGCCCACCTTATTCCGGCCCTTTTAAACTTAGTCTGCCAGGCAGTCATCATTGTCACTTTTTAATTTTCCAGAATGCCCCAGGGCCAGCGCTGACGTGGCCTCAAGGGCCCGTAGCTGTCCAATCATGTTCTCAGGTTGCAGTCTGAGTGTGTATGTGTGGGCCGAGCGCCCCGTAATAAAACAGGAGAAATTATTAAACAGAACTGACACAGCATACAATGACATCTCAATGCAAATCTGCCATTCCCACCGGTGTCTCACAAAAAACGGCAGCGGTTTTCTATAATCTTCACTAAGTGCCGTGAATGACCGACCCTTTCTTTCTCTATCTCCATTTATAGTGTGGAAAACAATGGAACCAGCTCCCAGAGCTCCATGCTTTTTTCATTTCCTTTTCATTCTTCTCTTTCAGAACCCTCCACGGAAATGACCTTTCAACTATTCCGGAGGGAGCCTTCAGCCACTTGACATCTCTGTCTCATCTGTAAGTGTGTGTGTGTGTGTGTGTGTGCGCTTTTTTGTGACAAATGAGGACATAAATTTGTATAATGACAAAGGTATGACATAGGTATTACAAGGCTTTGGTGACTTTTCGGGACATTACCCCATGTCCCCACTTTTCAAAACGCTTATAAATCACACAGAATGGAGTGTATTGAAAATCTGAAATAGCACAAAGTCTCCTGTGAGGGGTAGGTTCAGGGATAGGGTTGGTGTAGGGCAATAGAATATACGGTCTGTACAGTATAAAAACCATTACGCCTATGGGATGTCCCCACTTTTCACAAAAACAAACCTGTGTGTGTGTGTAAAAACGTGCTCTCTCTGCCTCTGTTAATGATGGACTCCCAGTCTCAGCCTTAGAGACCAACTCAGATCTTTAGACTCAATGTAAGTTTTACCTCATTACCGGGTGCAACCTAGAGAGAGAGAGCAGCCTTGTGCTCCGCGCTCAGAGACCGAGCCCCACAGGAAATCTTTGTACATTTTATTACAGCTAAAAGGCATCTATTATGGAGGCTTATGGTGGTGCTGTTTTTTTCCTCTCTGGCTGTAGTTCCTTTGCCGGTTTGGAGCGGGGCTACTGTAGCTCCTTGTTTCCTCATTGAAAAGAACTGTCAGAAAGGAAAAAAAATCCCCATTGAGGAATAAAGGGCCTGTTGAATTGAAGGAAGTGCACTTGGGAAGAAGTTATGATTTGTATTGAAGAGTTGAACTCACAAGGAAAAATACACTAGACTAACGAATCATACTGATATTTCTATGCATTTATGCTTTCAAACACCCGGTTCCTGTTATCCAGGGCTCTAGGTGCGAACCCCCTGTACTGTGATTGTGAGCTGCGCTGGTTGTCTCAGTGGGTGAAGGCTGGGTTTAAAGAGCCTGGCATCGCCCGCTGCGCTGGACCACCAGACATGGCCGACCGCCTGCTGCTTACCACCCCTCTCAGTCAATTCCAGTGCAAGGGTGAGTCTGATTTCTGTCTTCCCTCTTCGTGGTTAACACGTCTGCAGCGGACACATTGAGCCATGGTGCTCATGTGGGAGACACAGATTTCAATTTGGTCTGTGCCATGTCCTGAGTCAATTTCCGCTCTCTTTCTCTCCCTAAATAATATCCTGTCCTTTTTCCGTTGTTTCTATCGGTAAAAAGTCTCAAAAAAGGAAACTTCCAAAAAGTAAGCAAAAAAGAAAAAAGGTACAAAACTGTCACTGGGGCAGTATCCTAAGTGCAAAAGCTATTTACCCCAAAATGGTACATATTGGTACCTTTTGAATGTGTACCACCCCAGTTTAGTACCTTTTTTTATGAGATTGCGTAAGTTATGCATTTGCAATGCCATTGTTTTCATGATAAATTAAATTTTGGAACAAAACAAGATATTTGAGGAGAAAAAAAAACTGTAGGCTATGACTTGATTTTATTCAGTCATAACTGGTTGGATCATGAAAAGTGGACATTACGTACCAGAATGGATTCAGGTTGAAAGAGACGGTTTGAAAAATACGATGTGATGTTATCCAAAAAGAGCAGTCTTGTTATCATTAACTACAGCTTAAAACTGTTAAAATAGTTTGTTATCAGTTAAGTTATACGTTTTTAGTTATTTTCATTAACTAAAATTAAATTAAATTCAATATAAATAATAGATGAAAAAAAACTTTAAGAACAAGAATTAGAAATGTTGCCTTGAACTGAAAAGTTTAAGTACTAAAAACCCAAAATTGATATAAAATAAAGGTAAATATAAATATTTACGAAAATCTAATAAAATTATTAAAGCACTTAACGAAATTCTTAAAACTGGAAAACAAAAGTGAATTCAAAATAATAAATGCATACTATAACAGTACATAAATACTGCAAAAACAACAGTGTCAGTGGAAGAGACAAGTTCATGTATTTTGGTAAAAGTTGTATTTTTTCTAGTAATAGCATGCACAGATATATTGTTTTGCAAGTAAATATGTGACCCTGGACCACAAAACCAGTCATAAGGGTCAATTTTTTGAAATTGAGATTTATACATCATCTGAAAGCTGAATAAATAAGCTTTCCATTGATGTATGGTTTGTTAGAATTGGACAATGATTATTATAGATATAGAATTTGACTATTTGGCCGAGATACAACTATTTGAAAATCTGGAATCTGAGGGTGCAAAAAAATCAAAATCTTGAGAAAATCACCTTTAAAGTTGTCCAAATGAAGTTCTTAGCAATGCATATTACTAATCAAAAATTAAGTTTTGATATATTTACGGTAGGACATTTACTAAATATCTTCATGGAACATGATCTTTACTTAAAATCCTAATGATTTTTTGCATAAAAGAAAAATCGATAATTTTTGGCTATTGCTACAAATATACCCCAGCGACTTAAGAATGGTTTTGTGCTCCAGGTACACATATGGCCAGGTTTGTTTCATGATGACCTTAATGTCACCTCCATTCCCTTTTATTTCTGGTTCCCTTAATCATCCACACATTTATACTTCACATTTTGTGTTGTGTATTTCAGGTCCAGCAGATTTGAATCTGATGTCCAAGTGCGCCCCCTGTCTGGCGTCCCTTTTATTTCTGGTTCCCTTTCTCATCCACACATTTATACTTCACATTTTGTGTTGTGTATTTCAGGTCCAGCAGATTTGAATCTGATGTCCAAGTGCGCCCCCTGTCTGGCGACTCCCTGTCAGAATAACGGCACATGTGTGAGTGATGTCACGGGCTCCTACCACTGCACCTGCCCTTTTGGCTACAAGGTGAGTAAACATCCACCACCCCACATACAGCACATCCTCGGCTAGCGTCTTTCCTGTCCTCCTGCATGCGTGTACAGAATACTCCTATGAGTTATGTGCATCATTACATGCAAGAGATCCTCATCATCCATCTTCCTGAGCTGAACTCGCTGTCTCTGGAGTTTCTTGATTAGTTCCTATTGTACTCAGGCAGCCGTTGTTTGTGTAGTGGATACATACTCGGTAGTGTGACCTTGACAGTGGGGTCTTGGGCTTTGGGCAAATGCATTGCAAGAGATGTGAAGAATGTGAACTGCTCTTCGAAGGCAATTTATTCAAAGACAAGCAGCTATGAGCAATTATGAGTGTGACCAGACGGGAGCGTACAAAAATGTAAATTATGCGGCATCAATAGCAGTTCACTTCTGTGAGTTAGAACAGATTGCTTTATAAGCCAAACTTTAGACCATCGTTTCAAGCAAGACTGGGTTGCAGATTGCTGATGCACACACGAAAACCACTTGAAAACCCAAGCGAACCAAAGTTTGACATCAGACAGACTCGGTTTTACACAAAAAGTGCTTTGCGAATGTGTGTGTGTGTGTGTGTCCTGGATGCAGCGCGCAATCATTACCCTTTTGTTTGGTTATGGGATTCCTGTCAGTGTTGTTCTGTTGAAGAACAGATAAAAGCTTAACCCTTCACCCTCTACAAGACAGAACCAATGAGCTGTCTTTTAATTAAAACTGCAGCTCTCAAGGTCAGTTGCAGGTGCGCGTCTGTCCTCGAAGTAAGTGAAGATTAATTTGAATGTTCAAGAGTACTGAATTAAGTCAAACATGGGACAAGAAAAAGAAAAAAAAACAGAGATGAGAGAAAGAAAACAGACATATGGGCCCTTTGAGGAGAGCAGAGGAAACAGGCATATCAGTGGCAAGAGCCTTTGTCTGGAACTGAAATGGAGAGTGTTAGTCACGGAGTTACAGCCCCGGAGTGTAAAAGAATCAGGACAAGACATACATCTTCCATAAACCATGATATTAAACTAAACTCGGCTTTAGGCCTGGATATAGAAGTAGTAAACAAACAAGATTTTTACATTTGCTGAGGAAAATCTGAGTGGTGCCTGTCTGTGCAAAACACAGTGCTGCAGGATAGACTATGCAGTTCATATGTTCTGAGTGTTTTTATTATGTTGCTGTGTGGTTGCTAGGGTGTTCTGGATGGTAGTTAAAGGTTAAGGGATTAAAACAGATTCCTAATTATTAGTATGAGCAACAATGACCATAGAAAGCACCGCTAATCATTGCCTTTAATATCCACTCCTTAACCCTGTTTGAAATGTAAATTGTGGTTAACATTTAAGTTGACATTTACTCAGAAATCATTATGTAATACTGTAGATGATGTCTTTTTATTCCTTTAACCTCTTCACCTTTGAAAGTATCCATCTGATTGTGACCTTTGTCCGAGTATGTAGGGTCAGACATGTTAAAACCTGAGCTTGCTCTTTCCGCATCCATGCTCACAGGCTTTCTCTTTCCTCAGGGTCGTAACTGTGAGATCCCCATTAACGCCTGCATCAGCCTGCCATGTGTTAATGGAGGCACATGCCACCTCACACCTGGACTGGACGGGCACTACAGGTACATTCAGAGCTGTATAAATAATATTCTGTCAGCCATTGAATAGCTGGGAAGTTGTTGAACCTGTGGCCTGAAATGTTGAGTTTTGGTGAAACATAAGTCTGAATGTAGCCTGCACAGTGTTTCCACTATCGCTATGAATACAAGTGTCAAAACGGATATAAATAAGATTTAAAAACTGAAATAATTTGTTAAAATGCACGTCTGGACAAAATCTGTGTATTAAAATTTCAAAGCTTGTAACACCCCTGGACATTTGAACGAAGCAAGGGACAGGCAGATTGTTGTAATAGCACAATAAATGTCCACCGTGTCCTATAAATCACCCAGCAACTTTGGTAATGTCACGTTAGGCCTCTATTCAATTTTTGTAGGGCAGCCGCTTCACATTCCAGGCAGAGCAGAGTTGCACAATGACTTTACAAAAAAACAGCAAATGAGCCCAGAGATTTGTGTTTTTATGTTTCTGGGGGTGGAATATATCGGTTGCTGGCGTAGCTCTTGAGAGTTGGCAGCCAGAGGGCAGGGACTGGGTGGAAGGGTACAGACGGGTGTGGGCTCTGCTAAACAGTGAGATAAGTTTTACTGCTATTGCTCAACAAGTCACCATGGAGATGGAGGTTTATCAAACACTGGGCCTCAGTCACTGATGGATCTGACCTACAAGTCTTACGGATAGCAACAGAAAGCCAAAACAACAGAGAAAAATACAAATATTAGGGGCTTCTTGGAATTTCAGCAGGTAATTTGAGGTGGTGTAATTGATACCAGCTCATTTGAGTCCCAGTGAAGATCGAGACCAGAACAGGGTCGAGTCTGAGTCAGAGAGCGAAACCGGAAGAGATCAAGTCTGAGTCAAGACCGAGACCAGAAGAGGGTCGAGGTGGGATCAAGATCGAGATCAAAAGAGGGTTTAGTCTGATTCAAGACCCAAAAGAGGGTCTGAGTCACAAGCGAAAACAGAAGAGATTGAGTCTGAATCAAGACAGAGACCAGAAGAAGGTCAAGTCTGAGTCAGGGCCGAGACCAGAAAACATTGAGTCTGAATCAAGACTGAGTCCAGAAAAGGATCAAATTTGAGTTAAGACTAAAATTAGAAGTGAGTCGAGTCTTGGTTAAGACTGAAACCAGAAGAGATCAAGTCTGAGTCAAGACCAAGACCAGAAGAGGGTCGAGGTGGGCTCCAGGCCAAGATCAGAAGAGGGTCAAGTCTGATTCAGGACCGAGACCAGAAAAAATCAAGTCTGAATCAAGATCGAGATCAAAAGAGGGGTGAGTCTGATTCAAAACCCGAAAGAGGGTTAAGTCTGAGTCACAAGCGAAAACAGAACAGATTGAGTCTGAATCAAGACAGAGACCAGAAGAAGGTCAAGTCTGAGTCAGGGCTGAGACCAGAAAACTTCATATTTGGGATCAAATTTGAGTTAAGACTAAGATTAGAAGAGAGTCGAGTCTTAGTAAAGACTGAGACCAGAAGAGATTTGAGTCTGATTTAAGACCAAGACCAGAAAAGGATCAAGTCTGAGTCAAGCCCGAGAAGAAAGTCTAGAGACTAGAAAAAATCTAGTCTGAGTTAAGATCAAGATCAAAATGATCAAACTCAGACTTGAGGACCAAGACCATCAAAATATAGTCTTGGACTCATATTCAATGACCAAGAAAATACGGCTCAGACTCAAGGACCAAAACAGGCATGGACTCCAGGAGCATTTTGACTCCGACTCAAATGAGCTGGTTCTTCCATTATCTAGTCACCATCATATTGCTTGTTTTTGGTGGAACAAAATGAGATGTTTAGCAAAATGTTTAGGCTCCTCTTTTCCTTCAAGAAAGTGGATGGTGACCAGTAGATGTCAAGCTTAATATCTTAGAAAGGACAATCCGTACCATAAAAGTGAGTACAGGTTCACTCCGTGTCTGAAGATCTTCTTCCAAAATCCCGATATTCTCAATAAACAAGAACGTATAGTGTTATAAATAAAGATCTTGTTTTGTGTTCATGCCAGCATTATAATTTTTGGCTGAACTATTCCTGTAATGTGTTCAGTGTGTGTTAAAACCAAAACTCAGTGTTCCTGTTGGCTGTGAGCAGTGCACTAATGAAGGATGTTGGGTTGACATTTAAAGACCAAATAATGAGACATAAATGGCAACAAATGACACTGTTCTGGCTGCAGACTTGAAAAAATCAGTCTGGCAGTATCAGGGTGTCACCCAACAGAGCTAAATCACTTAAACCCATGTGTTTCCTTTTGTTCTAACATTTAAAGTATTGATCATTGTCCTGTGCCTTCCCACTCCTCTAGCTGTGTGTGTCCGCCTGGGTATGAGGGCCAGCAGTGTGAGCTGAATCCTGATGACTGTGAAGACAACGACTGTGAGAATAACTCCACCTGTGTGGACGGCATCAACAACTACACCTGCATCTGCCCTCCGAACTACAGAGGTACCAGTTAAAGCTCATTAAGCCAGACTATAAATGCATTCAGAATGTTTCAGACTCTTTGTTACCATTTCCTTAATCATATTGCCCTACTTGTCTGTCTCAGTCTTACCGCAATGAGGCCATTTCACTGGCAAGACTGTGCCAATTGCATTTATATCCTCCAGCCACAACTGAGGTGGCTAAGAAAACATTAAGGAACCAAAATAATATACATGTTAAGACTGGTAGTGGGCAGTTTTACTAAACAAACCAGCTTTTGACAGAAGTCCTGACTAGGCAGATTTAAAGTTCAGCTGTTGTTAAAACTGTCTGTTTCTTTCCACTTCAGATCTGCCAAGTGGCATCCAGTGGCACAACTGCTCTTGTTCTCTCTTCTTTTCCTCAAAATAGGAAGTGCAACTGCTCCTAGTGGGCCCTGTCATTATAATGGCATTCCTCTTTGCCACCTCCCTTGGAGCGGGTGCAGTTGGTGTAGAGAGTGTGTACTTGCTGCGGTATAAGCCTGGCCACATCCTTAAGCTCGTAGCGCACACACAGCTGTCCGGTTAAAGAGCACAGTCTTAAACTGAGTCTTAAACCAAGCAAGAGAAAAATGTTATTGCTCAGAGATGGATCTTAATGGAGTTGTTGGTTACGTTTCATGAAAGTATCAACTCTGGCTCGGGGGGTTCCCCTAAAAGAGAGATTAAAATAAGAATAGGAGCTAGAGGAGTTACTTTTTTACTTAAATCTTTTAAAACCAGTCTCCATTTGCTGTCATATTTCACAAAAATCTCATTTGTGATTTTTCCTGCATGCTGGAAGTATGCAGTGCTCTTCTTATTCTCTCCATTTCACTGTCATTTGTACCAGGCTGGCTATAGATCAGACTCTCAACATAGAATATATTTTCATATCCAATATAGAATCATATCCAAGTATGTAATTATGTTGGTGAAATAAAAGGGGAGAAGGAAGGTTGAAGATTTAATATACTGATGATGTTTTCTTTTGTTTTAACTTTGGGTCTTGTATTGTTGTATTTTACAGTTGTATTGGTACTTACACTACTGTTTGGGGTTGGTACGATTTTTTTATTTTTGAAAGAAATTCATACACTACCGTTAAATGTTTGAGGTGTTTTTCATTTTGATGCAAATTAACACTTTTTTTCAGCAAGGACGCATTAAATTGATCAAAGGCGACAGTGAAGACATTTATAATGTTACAAAAGCTTTCTATTTCAAATAAATACTGTTCTTTTTCAGCATATTAGAATGATTTCTGAAGGATCACATGGCTGCCAAAAAATTCAGCTTTGCATCACGGAAATAAATAACATTTGAATATATATTTAAATAGAAATATTTTGTCATTTTAATTATTTGTGATAATATTTCACAACATTGCATTTCACAACAGTCTTTTTGATCAAATACATGCAGTCTTCTTTTTCGAGTATTAAAAAATCAACCCCAAACTTTTTAAGTAATGTAATGTAAGCATACCAACAGAAAAATTTTGCAAAATGTCATTATGCCCCAAACAAGGCAAGGCAACCCTTACCAAAAAGTAGTATACTTCAAGTTGATTTTATTAAGTATACTTAAGCTAAGTTCAAGTATATATTTTAAGTATACTTTATGTAGTAAGAATACAAATATCAGTGTACTAGTAGTATACTTGTAAGTGTACTATTTCAGTACTCCTTGGGAGGCCCACTTTCTAGTATATAAAAGTATACTTTTAAATATACTTTAAGTATAACAGTAGTAAACTTTGAGTACACAACTAGTTTACATCAATGTTTTTAGCTTGTACTGCAACTATACTAAAAGTGAACTTATAGGTATACTGATAATTTACTAATTAAATACTTGTAGTACACTTTGAAGTATAGTCTCAGTAAACTACTAGCTTAGTAGATTTATACTGCAAGTATACTCGTAAGTTTTCTTTAAGTGAACTTTACATCATACTTTAAGTATACTACTATGTCCGTATTTAGGTATTAATTTATTTATATTTTGTTATATGAATATCTAAACATACAAAACATCAAAAGAAAGAACGGGGTATCTGCTTGTAAACTAAAATATTTTATTCTGGCTTCATGCATTCTTTTTTTAAACACTTGAATGTGGGTAAGTTTCATAAATAAAAAATAAATTAATAAACAACATTTTGAACAAAAAGCTGAATAAAGACTATGAATTGGATTCAAAATGATAATCAAAACGTAGATGGAGTTGATCAACACTCCAAAGCTTGACAGTCATTATTACCTCTTCATTGGTCGACATTTTATTCCATTGTGTTACACAGTTTTGATGCTGTTTTATGTCTGATGATCGTGTTAGATTACATGTGGAAGCATCTGTTGTTTCAGTTTCTTCTTCACTTGTGTTTTTTTTAATTTTGTACAGAAGATGTGTACTAGTGCCCCCTACCGTATAACAATGAAAACACGGATTCTAGGAGCAAAAGTATAGCTCAAATATAATTACAGTTTTTTAAGTATAATTCAAATATTCTTAAATGTCATTTTAAGTATATTTCTGAGAAGTACATAAAAAGTAGACAAAGTATACTTTCCTATTTTTTAGTTTAAAAGAAGTATACTAATAGCACACTTGAATAAACTTATTTTTCGTAAGGGAATTTGGTGCTTCAGTCCTTGTTTAATGTTGAATCTTCACACTTTGCCAAAGGTCAAGTCTTCCTTCTCCATTTTCATTGTATTTCTGTATCTCAGTTTGTATTTTAACAACTGAGGATTGTTCTGTATTAACGTCAGTCTGCACAAATCTTACCACCAACATCCAGAATTGATTTAAGAACCCACAGCTTGAGCTCTTTGCCAGACTCCAGCCTGTGAGGTGCTTGCAGGAAACATCAGCTGTAGACACCGACTGCACTGATTCCCTGAAGAACACATACAGTTGCTGCAGAAAGGGTCTAGAGGAAATTGGCCTGGCAGCAGACCACCTAAACACTGTCTCAAGGGCCTGAGCACGGAGAGGGTACATCTGTTTCTGAGCTGCTGCTGTGCCATGCAACTAGCAACACCAGCACAAGTGTGCTGGACAGGAAATGCTAGGAATCTGGGTGAACGAGTGCAGGGATGTGGAGGTTGGATTAGACCCAGTATGGCCTGTTGCAGGGCCAGATGTCCTACAGCAGGTGGACAGGAACAGGGAACGTATTGAAGGTTCTGGTTGGCAGTGATTTAGTGCCTCTGAATGGAGCCTGCTGAGCTGTGTGCTCTAGAAAGACTTCGCCATCACACAAAGATGTTTTCAGTTGAGCCTGGAGGAGAAAAAGCCTCACACAGTCTAAATGCTGGCAGATGGTGTGAGGGGAGAAAACACCTCGAGGAGGGTCTGTATATTCAGTCAAAGAGTTCCTTTAGCCGCACGACTGTGTGCTTCACCCGTAGACAGCAGAGGCCCTGAGTGTTTCAGCATGTGATAAACCTCCGGACGCTGGGAGATGGCAACTGTTAGAGTCATTTGTTCCTTTTCTTTGTGTGTCTCTTAGGTGATCTGTGTGAGGAGGTGATTGACCACTGTCTGCCCAGGTTTGACCTCTGCCAACACGACTCTAAGTGTGTTCCCCTCAGTAAGGGCTACAGGTGAGTGTGTGAGCTCCTCTGGTCAGAACTTCACACGGAAGACAACATGACCTGCCTGTGCTGCCTGCAATAGAGCAACAGTCGGGTTCTGGAAAGTAAAAGCTCCATTCATTTTCTCCATTAGGAAAGTGAGTTTAACAATACAAGACAGACCTGTTGTGAGCTCTGAGGATGTATGCTTTTCTTCAGCCCAACTGTTCACATGAATTCAACTTATTTTTTAAATAATTATGTTTAATAGCAGAATCTGTGATGAAAAACTTACCATGATGCTGTACAGAAAATTCCACCAATCAGTGGTCGCAGTGAGCGAAAAGAGATCTTTAGCTCCGCTCACTCCCATGAAGCATTGCGAATGACATATATAAATAAATATATATATTTATTTTTTTTTTTTTTCTTTGCTGCAAAAACTTAAGACAACCAACAACTATAAATTAATAGCTTTTTATTTCAATTGGCAGTGCTTTATGGGATTGTAGTTCTTTCACTCACTAAAACTTGAAAGTACATAGTCATGTAATTTGCCACTTTGTCTTTGTCCACTTTTCATATACTTCTTTGATTGGTTTGGTTTATGGCTTACCTTTTTTTAAATGCTTAAACAAAAGTGGGTGTGCACTAATGCACTCTGTAGTTGAAATCTCATTATCACTGCCAAGTGATTAACAGTGTTTTAAAATTACAGAGCATTAAGACACCCCTTATTGCTAGCAATTTTTTTTTGCATCTAAACTGTTGTTGTTGTTGTTGTTTTCCTTCAGGTGTGAATGTTTGCCGGGTTATGTTGGCCAGCACTGTGAGCAGGATTACAACGACTGTCTGGAGAACAAATGTCAGCATGGAGCAGAGTGTAATGACGCCATCAACGGATACACGTGTGTGTGCAAGGAGGGGTTCAGGTGAGACTCGTGCATTGTTCACACTCACATGCCTGCATTTACTTATTTAAATAAGCACACATCATAGAATTCTGTTGTTTCTGTTGTAAGTTAATTACTGTAAAACTGCTAAACACTAATCCGAACCTAATCCATATCTCTACTCCTAAAGGAAAAACTGCATTTTGAGAAGTTAAAAAAACGTACTTTATTTATTAATCATTTACAAATGATTTTGTAATAATAATAATATTATCCTAATATTTTAATAATATTATTATATAGTATATAAAAAAATATTTAAAAATGCATATATTTTAAATAGCAATAATACTTAAATATAAAATATAAAAACTGTTGACAAATATTGACCCTGCCATTTTTAGATAAATCAGTCAATAAAGAATCTATTAATTCTTTGTTCATAATTTCCCCTTTTTTACTCTTCACATTTATGTCTGCAAAAGTGAAAGTAGGTTAGAAATCACTCAAAAAGCATGCACATACTTTTCTGATAACTAGGATACTTGCACACCTGTGTTCATTATGATTATGAAAGGCTTGATAGATGCAAACATATACACGCTTGCTTACACACACACACACTGCAAGCTTCTGTTGGTCCTTTGTTATATGATAGTGTGTAGTTAAATCTGACATGCACAGACGATGAATATCCATATGGCTAATTATAACATTAGGGTGTGTGTGTGTGTGTGTGTGTGTGTGTGTGTGTGTGTGTGTGTGTGTGTGTGTGCGTGTGGCATTGTACAGAAGAAGAATAGCTCTCTCCCCAGCATCCCTCACTCCACTACGGCTACTAATTAAGGGCCTGATGGTGTCTTGAGCTCCGCATTAATCTGGCTTACCACCCATCCTGACACTCTATCAATATTCTAACACTGTCTTCATCTCTTGTGTGATTTAGATTTAAGAAAGAAAGAGTAAGAAAGAAAGAAAGAAAGTTAAAAGTGCTTGAAAAATTGCTTATATTGTTTTCAATAATATACTATACTAATATATTACTCAATAATAATATAGGCATAGGATGGTATAAAGGCTTTTATCATGGTATATTATCACGATATTGAAATAAGTTGCAAAAAAAGTGTTGTTATACTATAACAGGTATGATAAACAAAACTATACATTTTTGTGTGTTGCTTTATTGTTTATCAATGTTCAAAGTAAACAAGAATTATAGTTTAACTGCAATACGTAAGAATTTACAATAAGGTCTCATTAGTAAACTTTAGTTAATGCATTAACTAACATTGTGAAATAGCTACATTTGTTACACAAGGTATCTGTTAATGTTACAGAAGAATATTAACATTATAGTTAATCTTAGTATTCTTGGAATGCATTCGAAAAATCTGAGTAATGAATAATAATTTACAGTATTTTGAGGTGCCCACGATGACAATATCATGCATGTTCATTATTATGATATTATTATTACTGTTTATCGGCACATGTCTATAAAATACTTTATATTCAAGAAGGTTTTCTGAAGGATTGAAGACTGGAGTAATAATGCTGAAAATTCAGCTTTGCATTACAGGAATAAATTACATTCTAACATAATATTCAAATAGAAAATCGTCACTAAAAATATTTCACAATATTATTTTTACTGTATTTTTCATCAAATAAACGCAGCCCTAGTGAGCATAAAAGACATCATTCAAAAACAGTAAAAAATAATCCTAATTATTCCAAACTTTTGACCCTCACCCACTCTCTTTCCTTAGTGGGCTGTTCTGTGAGACTCCTCCACCAATGATATTACTCCAGAAGACGAGTCCATGTGATCAGTCTTACTGTCAGAATGGAGCGCAGTGTCTGGTCGTGGAGGGAGAGCCTGTGTGCCGGTGTCCACCTGGCTCCAAGTGTCATAAGATGGTCACAGTGCACTTCCTCGGCAAAGATACCTATCTGGAGCTCTCGGGCGCCAAGATCCGACCACCCATGCACATATCCCTCCAGGTATGCCTGTAACCACTTCCTGTAATGCTTAACAAAGGGTCCCAGATCAGTTTCTGTAATATAGACTTCACATATCACTAGCCTCAGGACAGTCTGCGTATCAGCCGAACTCACACCTGCAGCCATGAGAAGCGATCTGCCTCTCTGTCTAGGTCTTTTTTCATCCGCAGTGCCTGGTCTAAGCCAGCTTTGGCCTCTTTGACATTATGAGAATGTCACCTCTTGTCCACCTGCGTGAATAATTCTTCTCCTGAGGACATATATTATGGTAATAGAGGTTGAGCCGGCTGTTATCCGTTGCCCTGCGTAACCGCTAGATCTGCTACAAATGATCCTATCTTCTCACCGTCGAGAGGGCACACTAATGTTAATTAAAGTAGGAGAAATTAAAAAGAGCTCAGTAGCTGTTTATCTCCTTGTGGACGTCAGCATCTCTCCATTTCGGTTTCTCTGAGAGGCCTTTGTGAGTTAAGTAATGGTGCTTTCTAAACCAACTCTGAATTTTTGGCGAGAAGAGAGCATAGACAATGAGGTTTTAAAATTAAAAAGTGCATATCTATGATCTGTGAAGTTCATTCATCACATTCCATTAAGTGGTTCCAATGGTAAGGCCATTCAGATAACCCTTACCAAAAAGAAGTATACTTCAAGTTTATTTTATTAAGTATACTTAAGTAAAGTTCAAGTATATTTTTAAGTTCAAGTTTATTTGTACAGCGCTTTTCACAATACAAATCATTGCAAAGCAACTTTACAGCAAATTAAGTTTATCAGTGGTGACTGTCAGTTAATGTACATATGGCAGAAATGTACGGAAAAATCAATTAAAGACGTAATCAAACAGACAATGAACAATATTAACAGCAATTATTATATGATGCAATCAAACTTATAGCAAAATGTGGTAGCTTTTTCTAAAATTTTAGACATAAAAGGAAGATTTGAGATGGGTCTGTAATTTGCATATACTTTATGTAATAAGTATACAAATATCACTGTACTAGTAGTATACTTGTAAGTGTTCTATTTCAATACTCATTAGGACTAAATTGGCCCACTTTCTAGTATATAAAAGTATACTTTTAAGTATACTTTAAGTATAACAGTAGTAAACTTTGAGTTTGGAGTCGATCAACACCCCAAAGCTTGACAGTCATTACCTCTTCATGGGTCGACATTTTATTCCATAACGTTACACAGTTTTGATGCTGTTTTATGTCTGATGATCGTGTTAGATTACATGTGGAAGCATCTGTTGTTTCGGTTTCTTTTTCGCTTGTGATTTGGAAATTCTGTACAGAATATGTGTAATAGCGCCCCCTACCGGATAACAATAAAAACATGGATTCCCGGAGCACAAGTATAGCTCAAATATAGTCTAAGTATAAGTCAGGTATACTTAAATGTCATTTTAAGTATAGTTCTGAAAAGTGCATAAAGCACATTTCTGAGAAGTACATATAAAGTAGACTGAAAGTACACTTTCCTATTTTTTTAGTTTAAAAGAAGTATACTAATAGTACACTTGAAAAAACTTATTTTTCGTAAGGGAAGTGATGTCTAATTTCAGGAATTTTCATAGATGTTTTAAAATTTTTACCCTGCAAAATGTGTGAAGGAATCCAAATACCACGTTCATAAAATCTGCTCTTTAACAAAAAACATTGGTATTTTCCTCTAAATAGTTCCTCTGCATTTCATTGCATGTTTGTTTACATTTAAATAGCATTAAAACCGGAGTAAAAAAGTAATATATTTAAAATACATTTATTTCATAATAAGTATAGTTCAAATCTATTAACATATTTACTGACATATCGCTCGAGACTTACTGATATAAAAATTATAATTAAACTTTATTTGGAGTACTACTTGTGCACAATTCTTAATATTAAGCCTAAAATGTGTCTTAATGTCACTATTGATTGATGGATCTTTGATCTTTGAATAATATCAGTCTTTAAATGCAAGATATTTAAAGTGTGCTTAAGAGTCACATTTCATCATTGCACTTTCTGAATATTTTACAGCTTTCGCTCTGTTCGTGTTAACAGGCCCTAAAAGGCAACACACTCGGGAACTGCCAATATAGAAAAGCAATCAAATTAGGTTGCTTTTTTTTATTTCCAGCATTCTTAGTAAAACTGTGCTATACAGCGTTAATGACTTGGTCCTCCTGTGACATATCCACTGACAGAAACCGAATACAGGGACACATTAATGGCTCATATGCCTCCGGGATATGAATGTAAGCAGTCCACTTGGTCTCAACTGATGTGTAGAAGGGCTTCCACACTCCATAAGCCATCAACTGCTCTTTTCTTTCCTCTCGTCCTAGTGCTTATATATAAACGTGAGCTGTTTTCCATCACAGCTTGCTGGCAGGCGTTCCATTTGATGCCCTCGACTAAACAGGGAGTTAAGTGTCAGGCCTGCGGCTGTTCTCTCTCGGTGTGCATGTTGTATTGAAATAGTGTGCTTATCGCGCACTCTTGATTGTTTTGTACATCCTTCTTTTACCCTTCCACCTCAATCTTTAGAAGTCTTCCTGCCGTTTTCCTTCACTGATCTTTTGCTGTCTCTTTCCCATTACCCCTCTCTTTCTTTGTAGGTAGCCACAGATAAGGACAATGGCATTCTGTTGTATAAAGAGGACCATGACCCACTCGCCCTAGAGCTGTACCAGGGACACATACGTTTGATCTATGATGTTGCCAAGTACCCCCCAACCACAGTGTACAGGTGAGGATACGGCATATACACACACACTTTGTAGGTGATATTTTAAAGAAATAGACACTATCCTTAAAAAAGATGTGCAAAAATCTTACCTTTATGTGCACAACACCTGTAGGGGTAATAGAAAGAGGCATCTTTGTTCTAGGGGTGTGCAATATAGACAAAAACAATTATATCTTTATATTTTGGGGATTTTTTTCAATAACTAAACAATATTTTGCTTAGTGTATTTTTATGTTGATACCTTGGATGGTTTAGGCCTATCATGGATAAATAAATATGACACTAAAACTGCCAGTAGGTGGCAACAATTCCCTGTCGGTATGATTGATTCATTGAATCATTCATTCAAACGATTAATTCAAAACAGCTGATTCATTTAGAAATGAAGCAGGTGGCTGTCTATATGAATGGAAGATTGAATCATTCAAACGATTCTTTCAAAACAGATGATTATTTGAAAACAGCTGATTCAAGCTACTGTCTTTATGAATGGATCATTGAATCACTGACCCAAAAAGTGTTCAAAAGCAGATTCATTCATTATTTTCATTGGTAAAACAGAAAAAAAAACAGACATTATTGTGTCTAAAATGTAACTCACTCAGTAATAAAATCTTATTTGTTGAACTGTTGTCAAAAATGATCACATTCGCGACCACGCTCACGCAAATATTTCTTGCTTGTTTGATATAACGTAAACGTAATAAAAATATAAAAATACAAAACCCCATACTGGGATATTTTTTGATTTTATAGGGGCATTTTAACTGCATTCTAATAGGCATCATCACACAGTGAATGCTTTTGTACTTTCAAGATGTTTTTTTATTTGTTTTTGCATATACTCATACATACTCTATCATGTCAGCTTGCATATTGTTTAAACAACAATTACAATATTATCACAGATGATAAATATCGCACACCCTTACTTTTGTACCTTATTTACGCCTAAAAAAGGGGTTACTCTAAGGTACTGCTATGAAACTTTTAGGGGTAGGTAAACTACAGAGTTGTCCCTTTAAGGGTAATTCACCACTGACAAGATGGGCTTTCAATAAAACTTGACTGTCTATCAGTAGAAAGGCAATTTTTTAAATCAGTGCTACATAAGCAAACAGAGAAAAAGCGCTCTTGCCAAAAAGTTAGGAAAACACCCATAATGCACTGGGCTCCGACTGTCCATTAGTGGGAATACAAAATGCCTTGGAGGGAAAGTTAATTCAAATTGTAATTCATAAATAGTTTAATATAATTGAAAATGGTTTTACCCAATATTTGTGTGTGCTTTGTATATTTATGTTTATGAGAGCACTGCATTGTGAACTACAAGCAGAGTATATGGTACTGTTGTTGCTGTTTAAGAGTTTGCTAACGCTTCTTCAGCAAAGTGTGGATTTACTTCACCAATTTTACAACCAACAGCGGAGACGCATCATATACAACATATAATCGTCACTTCCCGACAGGTACTGTTTACTAACAAGGTGACAGCGCCAACTACTGGCCTGGCATACGTTTTTGGCCATTTTCACGGATATGTGTAAACGCAAATCGTTTTGAAAACGTAGCCAAAGATAAAAGGTACAGACTGTTGTTTCACGTTGCAGCCATCTTGGAATACACCAGGCAGCTACTTTCTATGTAGTTAACAGAGATACAAGTACAGCTTCTATCTCCTTGAATGGGGAATGACCAAAATCTCCAATGGTATCATTAATTTAGCTAAACACTGCTAAGAGTTGTATTTTTGAGGTTGGTCCAAGCAGAATGGTCACTATATGAGCACTATAGCGTAATGTGATGTAGCAGCACATGTACTGTACTAACTACTAGGCTAGGACTCAGTTGTGTACTTGAACAGTTAAAGTGGACACAACACAAACAGTTGGACAATCTCATGTTAATCTTGAGTACCTATTACTAGTAGTATTAGGGTATTAGTAGGGTAGTACTGCATCCTTCATATCTCCGAAGAATCTTTAGTTGTATCAGATTTATAAAAGACAGATACAGCTGTCGAGCTCCTGGAGGTGTGCTGTGGGTGGAGCTAAAGAGTCACGAGCATGCAAAGCTTTTGCGTAGCGATCGTCTGCAAGCTGTGACATCGACACGAATGAAACAGGGACAAAAAAATTTATCGACTTAAACAATGGCTAACGAATTACCGTATGAAGCACGTTGATGGGTGTGCTCTTGCTCTCGCTCTGATTGATGTTTGCACGCTTTTCCAGGAGAAGTGCCCATATAAGGAATTCTACCCTTTATGATGTCATACAGGGTCATACTCGGGGGGAAAAAAACTTTACGAATCTTATGCGAATCCTGAAGGAGTGTCTTTGGCACAGAAATACACCGTTATACTTCCAACTCGTTTTTGAGTCATGTTTAGCATGAGAATCCAACACTTTAACAGTGTAAATAAGTCAGAGTGCATGAAATAGCATTAGACATCCCGTTTAAATTAATATGCAGTGGTGTGACTAAATGAAGTAAGTTTTGTTGCCAGGTCCCTGCTAAGTCCAAGATGTATCATGGCACTCACAGTTAATCACAGATCCATGCTCACCCTCTAATTATCTTGTTTTTCCCCAAGCGACATTGTGCTGTGTGGCTTTGGCATATCTGCACCCCATTGTGTTGGGGTAAAGAATGAGGTTCACATGTGAGGAGAGAAAGTGCAAGGAGAAAACACGTTCTTCCGTCTCAATTTAGATTATTTGGCATTGGCACACCCCGGTCTGGCAAACGTGCTCCTGAGTTCTCCATGTCATAGTTAGCGTTAACAATGTGTAACCAGAGCTAACAGAGCCAGCTGCTCAATTTGTAACCCGTCCTACGCCGCAACACTTGGACGTGGGTGCAGCGTTTGGGCAGCTCCCTTGCTTTGGTTTTCCCACCGTGGAAGCTAGAGTTTTGAGGCTGTGGTTGGAGCATTCCTGAGCTGAGTCTGGTTCAGTGGCTCTCTGCGGGTGCTTGACTTCAAATGTGGAACTGGGTCATAAAGACTCTGTGGGGCGAAGATCAGAGCAAGATTCCCACACCATCTACAGGTCTCGCTCAGCTCTTTATACACCTCGTCCCTGCTGAACTTCAGCAAGAGATTCCCGATAGGGATCAAGGAACGGTGAGAGGGAACGGGTGGTGGGAAAGAAGACAGATCGGACCCCAGAGAGATGAAGAGCGACTGAGAGCCGACGAAGAGTGAAGGACACTTATCTCTGCAATGTGATCCTGCCTTGATGGAAGGTGCGGGTGAGGGGAGGGATGGAGAGACTGATAAATGCACTGGGGAGGAGAGCGACGGAGGCTCTTAACTAGCAGTAATGCCTCATTACCATGAGATGAATGCTTGGGCCCATGCAGCGTGTTAATGCGCTGCCCTTTACTAAATGTCACGCTAATCTGAGTATTAGTTTAAGCAGCGGCGTGGTCAGTTCCTCAGCAGAAGCGGCGATTTGTGGAAACATCGCAGGAAATTGAATGAGAATGTTAGAATTGCAGCACTCCCTACCCCCAGCTCCTCAGCGTGGGCTCGCCGTCCTGTGCCACGCCTAACCACAGCTCTCCAAATGCAGCTAATGTTTGGCATGTCAACCGGGTTTAACACTGAGCAGCGCTAGGGTGAACAAGGAGGGGTCAGGGTATGTTTTCACGGCCTGTTTTCATTTCGCCTGAGATTAGCACTAAGTTCCTGTGCGAGCAGAATGTTGATATGGGGGGGAAAGCAGTGGTAATTCAGCCTGAACCGTGACGGGACATGAAGTAAGTTCGTTGGGTTTGAGAAGATTTAATGGTTGTGGTGTGCTAAGTCCGGCTTTGCTAAGTGCGACAGCGCTAATGCAACAACAGCAGAAATCACAGTCAAAGCTGAGGGATGCTAATGCTAACGGTCCACACACAAAGTTTTATTGTGCCTACATTTACCTTTAATTTAATCTGACCTCTTCAGCTGGGTCTCGGTACTGTTGTTTGGTCCGCACCCGAGTGCGATTGCTGTATTCATACATTTGCCCAAAAGATCTGCACCAACCCACATGGAAAAATACTATAGTAATTTATAGTAAATAATATAGTGTTTTTGAACCATACTATAGTAAAGTGAATTATACTGTATATATTATAGTATTTACAACACTTTGTTAATGAATACTACAGCATACTGTAGTATTAACTATAGTGAACCGATAAACTGTAATAAACACTGTAGTATACTTTAGTTTTTACTACAGTAAACATTGTAGTATAATATACCCTAGTTGTAGAAAACTTAGTACACATAGGCTATTGGGTAAAGTAATTTGTTTATATTACTATAGTTGTTATATTACCACAGCAACTATAGAATTACCACAACCAATTAATTCAAGTACTTTACTATAGTATGGTTCAAAAACACATATAGTATTTACTATAAATTACTATAGTATTTTTTATTAAGGGGGAAACGAACCATGAGTTCGATTCAATCGAACCAAACAAGACAGGTGTGAATACACCCTAAAACTCTCTCGCTCTTGTGTGAGTAGTGCGCCTTCACACTAGAGCAGGGGTGGCGAACTCCGGTCCTGGAGAGCCGCAGCCCTGCAGAGTTCAGCTACAAACCTAATTAAAACTCACCTGCCTGTAGCTTCCTAGTAACCCTTCAGACCTTGAGTAGCGTGTTCAGGTGTGTTTGATTAGGGTTGAAGCAAAACTCTGCAGGGCTGCGGCTCTCCAGGACCGACGTTCGCCACCCCTCCACTAGAGTTTAGCCCAGCTCAGAGTGTTTTCGGGTGAGTGAAAATATATCTGTGTTAAAACTAATACTTAGCCTCCAACTCACACACTGGTGAGTAAAATCTAAGAATTGATTAGCCATTGGCTAATGTTAGACATCATTTAGTCGCCCAGAGTGAAGATTTAATCGCATATGCCAGTGATTTACTCGCAATGTAGAGGGTTGTATTGGATTCATGTACACAGTTTATCAGTTCTAGTTTTCCTCAAGAATCAAACCAAGACGTTATCATTGCTAGTGCTATGCTCTACTGCTGGATGATACCTTGTTCTTTGCTACTTACAAGTGTTTTGATGCTACATGTTAACTTCAGTCTATCTGTAGAGTAAAGCTAACGTTACTTGGTTACACCCCATTATATATATCAAATGCTACATAACCTTGTTTAGCAATTCACGTTCCAGAAGGGCACAATTGACTTCACAGCTGCAGTCCGTTACTCTTAGCTCGTGTAAGCAAATGATAGTGCCGCGTAATTGAGTCTGGAAAATGTAAATATGTAGATAACTCTCCAAGATGAAGGAGCCGGTAATAGTTCCTAACTTTGTGTGTGTGTCATTTATACTGCGGTTTCGTTCGAGGAAAAACAGAGTATTTTATTTTCAGCTGACAGGAAATTGACTTCCCCTCGTGTGAGAAGGGTGACATGAGGTTGCTGAAATCTTCCACGGGTTTCTGTTTGTTTTTATTGAGCTCCATAATGGGCTGCTTGAAGCTAATATGCAGGCTAGCCGCACATCAAAGACACTCCACCTTCTCAACCCCCCGTTCTAAAAATATTACGGCCTCAGGATATTTTCTGTCTGTCAGAATATGAACAAAAGGCCGATAGTTGCAAGCGCTAGGCTACATCTTGATCTCTGGTGCCCCCTAGTGGTGCTAGAGCTTCACTGCATACATTTTGTCAACTCCAAATGATGACTTCTGTCCCCCATGGTGAGATTTATGTTCTGATTAAGAATGTTTTCATTCTCATAATAGAATCTTCCTCTTTGTTCTATTACATTCCCACTCTCACCACCTTTTCCACAAAATGCTCTTCCCATTTCCTTCCCAGCTGGCGTGTAGGCTCTCTTAATGAAAGACGGCTTTCAAAACCAGAGACAGTGGATGAAAATGTCCTTATATTATAATAAAGCCGTTCATCTATGGTGGTACTGATGTATCAAATGGACGGGCTTGAGATGTTTGGGGGGTCTCAGCCCACGGACTGTAGTGTTTGATGCAAAAGCCTATTTTGAAACAGGAATTGAATTATGGGCCTGTAATGCAAACCACACGTGTGCCTGTGTTGAGTCTTTGTTCAGCCAAGACCTCCGTGAACCTTACCCCCCTATAACTGGGGACACTGATCTCTATCCGCACCTATGGCCTCAGCATTTCAGCAATGGAAAATAGCATTGCGAGCCAGCGCAAATACTAGCTGCCTGCCCGCATATAATGCTATAATGCTATAATGCTAGCCTGTTTGTTTGCTTAATGTGTTTGTGCTGGCAATGCTCTGTTGTTGTTGTTGTTTTTTAGTACATGTGAAATTTATATATATATATGAAGTTTATTTGCAAAAACAGATAACTTGTTTTTTTTTATTGTTTATTAATATTTTTTTATTATGTTATCATGATTTTATTGTGGTAGTTAGCTAGTATTTTTTATTTATTTTTTACCTAATCAAAATAGCCCAACTGCAGTTTTATTGAGATGAATTGCAATGCACAATGAAAAAACAGGATTTTTGAAAATTTGCCAAAGACAGAAAAAGAGGAAAACCTTGTTTTAAGTTGAGGTGGGGATTAAGATATACTGTACTTGCCACAATATCATTTCTCGCACCCCCTTCTCCACTCTCTCTGTTGGTCTCTGGGCTTCTTTGCCAAACCACTGTCTCTAGCTGTCTGTAACTGCTTGTGCTCCATCCAGCAATAACTACTACAATACAAAACTGGGCTTTCTGTAGCCTGAGCAGACTGCTTTCTCATAGTTCAGGGGCTACTGATAAGTTCATAACCCTAATTCTCACCTTTAAACAAAATACAGTCCTAGAAGTCAGCAGAATCTGGGCCAAACAGGGCGCTACATGCACCGCATCGTAAGAAACTGAGGAGGAAACAGGCGAAAAACCAGCTGTGCCGGTCAGAGCACACTCTCATAGTCTGTGAGATGTTTCGTGGAACCCGGGAACAAACGGCACTCTTCAATGGTTAAAAAATGACCGTGTGAAAGAGAATCACTCTCAGGAGTTCACGCAGTCACAGTGCCAAACTCAGCAGGATGTGATTTGAGCGTGCTAACTCAAAGAAAGAGTGAACTCATGGCCAACACAAGCTCTCCTTTTCCCACAACATAAGCTCTCTCTGCGTCAGTGCCAAATTCACTGGAAATACACCTGACGGAGCCTAATGTGGAAACCATGGCATTTTCAGACGGCGGGGAGATATTCTGTATTGCACATTCATGGCTTTTCAATTTGGCCTTTGAACAGTTATATTACCCCAGTGGTGACATGATACGATCAGTTAAAACAGTCATTAAGGCTAAAAAAGTCGTTTTGTTGCTAGCATCTTGTGTATCCAAAATACACAAATGTAAATAATATTTTCACACTGCAAAATTTGACAAAATAAAAGCTTAATTGGAAATGACACAAAAATAAGGATATTTTGCTCACGAATGATATTTACACTACCATTCAAAGTTTGGTGTTAGTTATTTTAAGAAATGTTTCTTAAAGGTTTTTTGTGACACTGAAGACTGGAGTAATGATGCTGAAAATTCAGCTTCGATCACAGGAATACATTTTCTTCTTTTCCTTTTCTTCTCTTTATTTGTCTCATATCATATTTAATCTCAAGTGTGCTCTTGCCTGACACTGCTTCTTTCGAAAAAAAGAAATAATGAAATAATGAAATGGTTTATTTCACACTCTTTTCAGATAATTATAATTAAAAAATACAGCAAATGTATATTTGTAGCTATCTTCTGCTTTCTTGCAGTGTGGAGTCAGTGAATGATGGTCTTTTCCACACGGTGGAGGTCCTGATCCAGAATCAGACGCTGAGTTTGGTGGTGGATAAAGGGGCACCGAAAAGCCTGGGCAAACTCCCCCGTCCTCCGGCTGTGGACCACAACACAGAACTCTACATAGGCGGTAAGCAACAAAAACTCCTCGTTGTTCATCAAAACCACATTTCAAAGGTTTCAAAGTATTAAATATGGATTGTTTTGAGATGCTTTCCAAGTGTTTGAATGCATAATGATTGCAAGGTGAGCACAGTGTTGGGAAGATTACTTTGGAAATGTAATAGCTACCCTATTTAAAACAAGTAGTGTAACTATTTCAATTACTTTATTAAAGGAATGTAACTAATTACATTTGATTACTTCTTGATTACTTTTCTAAATTTCCAACCAGTGGTTTCAAACGGCAATCATTTTGAGACATTTAAAAATAAAAATAAAGCATACATAAACCTAAATAGGAAATCGAATATGCATGTGTCCTATTTTGTGTCCTAAACATTGCTGTCTCATATTTTAGAGCAGTCAATGCAATTTGGGAAAGAAATCCATCATATCTGTATGTGTGTATGAAAATATTCACATGTAACCCCCTGTGTAATTGTGAAATCATTTTCATAAGTAACTGTAATTTAATTACACATTTTTTCTCAGTAACTGTAACAGATTACAGTTACATTTGTTTTGTAATTCAATTATGTAATTCTGTTACATGCAACTAGTTACTCGCCAACACTGCATAAGCATGTGTGCTAATATTTGCCTGTTGTTGGTATTTTAGGTGTGCCCTCTCTGATTGACACAGCAGGCCTGCGACCGGGTCCAGACCGTCCATTACAGTCCTTTAACGGCTGCATTCATGACGTACGGCTCAACGGGGAACTCCAGGACCTCGGCGGTGGGCTGGAAGGGGTGGAGGGCATCTTGCCGGGCTGTCACTCCTGCGGCATCTGTGCTCTCGGGGCCTGCAGACAGAGAGGAGAGGCAGGCGTGACCTGCGAGTGTCCCAGCGGCCACAGCGGCCCGCTGTGTGAAGAGACCACCTCCCAGAGCCCCTGTCAGAGCAGCAGGTACAGAAAGCCGCAGGTGCACAGACACTCACAGTAAGGGCTGCGCAATAAATCAATAACGATAATTATCGGGATATAATTTGAAAACGATAAAAGGATATGAAGAGATCAAAGTTTAAACGAGCTCACTAGAGCAGACGTCACGCGAGCACTAAACAGCGCTGCACTGAGAAAAAAAAATGATTCATTGAATTTACTAATGTTTTTTACGTTAAGTGGTTGCAATCGATTTATTTTAGCTACATTTAAATAAACAAATTTAGTTGACTAACTTTCAACTTTTTTTTTTTGAATGTAGCTAAAATAAATTGTTTGCAACCACTTACCTTTAAAAAAATTTGTATTTCAGTGTTTAGTATTTAGTATTTCAGTACAATTTAGTATTTGTGACCATGGTCCACAAAACCAGTCATAAGGGTCAATTTTTTTAAACTGTGATTTATACATCATCTGAAAGCTGAATATATAATATTTCCATTGATGTATGGTTTGTTATGATAGGACAATATTTGGCATGATCTTTATTTAACATCCTAATGATTTTTGGCATTAAAGAAAAATCGATAATTTTGACCCATACAATGTATTGTTGGCTATTGCTACAAATATACCCCAGCGACTTATGACTGGTTTTGTGCTCCAGGGTCACATTTTGTTTTTCAGTGTGTGAGATCCAGTGTGAAGCGCTTGAATTCAGCAAACAACACAAATGACTCGGTGATTTTAAAGCCGGATGAAACAGCGCTGACAAACAGGAGACACTGTGCACAACAATAGAGTCAGAAGCCTTTTCAATCTACAAATCGCCATCATTTTACCATGGACTTACTGTAGTAACACTAACTGCAGTATGGTATTGTGTCAGAAATGTGGGATATTCATATCGAACTTTATTATATGATTAATTTAGACATGTATTGAAGGAGTAATGGAATATAATCACAGTTTATTTGTGATTAAGCTATAGCGTTGTATGTGCATTTATACTACATTTATTTAGACTACTGTTTTTCATACAATTACCTAAAACCATATAGTTACATGTTTACCATGGTATCGAGGTGCTATGTGTGGTTTTAACTGTGATTATCATGATTTGAATGTATGCTACTATGGAAGACCAATGATTAATAAAAAAAAAAATTAGAATTAAATTTCACCATATAAAAACGAGGTTGCTTTGATTCTTACAGATGTTACTGATTTTGATAATGAACAAAAATTTGCATCTGCATCCTAACTCAAGCTACTATACTATCAAATGTGCAGAGACAAAAAAAGTTATGTTATTATTAATATTATCAGACAACACAAACCTGTTTCTTGATTTGAAACAATATCACTCATTAGAACATGCAGAAACTAAGAAATGCATTTTTCTGTTAAGATAGTCTGGTTTCAACAACCTTTGCTTTGGAGCAAAAATCTGGCTTTAAACTTGAAATAAATAAAGATTTGACGTTTATCGTGATAACTATCGATATCGACTGATCTGAAAAAATGATGATCTTTTTTTCTGGCCATATCGCCCAGCCCTATGCAAGTTAATGACATGAGATGAAGCATTTACACAGAACCTCAGTGCTCATGACTCTGGGAAACAGCCTCTATTTCTCATGTCTCTGTAACGTGTAAAGGAGGGTCAGATGGACAAGCGCAGTGTCTCAATGCCATCGTGACGAGACACGCTCAGGCTTTCAGACAACATGATTATCAGCTTGTGAAGCAGTTATTTCTGTGCCAACACCCACATCCAGCATCTCGCCGACTGAGAGACACGGCTTATGGGAGCATTAGTCACGGGCAGAACAGAAGGTTTGCTTTCTTAGCTTGAGTATGAAGAGCATACAAGGCTCTGCAGAAACGCTTGAGGGAACGGCGTGAAAGCAGAACATGAATGTACACACATGTGTTTGAGCCACACGCTCACATGAAGCATCTGCAGTATTCAGAGTGACTGTCAGTTCACGGGGTTTTGCTGCCATCTAGTGCACCATTCCCCGATGAGTCAAACACGGCGTCTGTGACATTAGTTTCCACCGTTTGACCATCCAGAGGACGACAGATCACCGGCAGCAAACTGGGTAAAATTCAACTATTTGGACATGGAGCCAAACTGAGAATATGGGAATGAACCAAACAGAGCTTTAAGGACCACAAAACTAGTCATAATGGTCAATTTTTCTAAATTGAGATTTATACATCATCTGAAAGCTGAATAAATAAGCTTTCCATTGATGTATGGTTTGTTAGGATAGGACAACTATTTGAAAATCTGGAATCTGAGGGTGCAAAAAAATCCAAATATTGAGAAAATCGCCTTTAAAGTTGTCCAAATGAAGTCCTTAGCAATGCATATTACTAATCAAAAATTAAGTTTTAATATATTTATGGTAGGAAATTTACAAAATATCTTCAAGGAACATGATCTTTACTTAATATCCTAATGATTTTTGGCATAAAAGAAAAATCTATAATTTTGACCCATACAATGTATTGTTGGCTATTGCTACAAATATACCCCAGCGACTTAAGACTGCTTTTGTGCTCCAGGGTCACATTTAGAATGGAACATAAAAACAAGATTTAAAAAACTCTTTATTTTCATAATAAATGTTATTGTGCACAATTCATCAGTGCGCATATCACCCATTCTTTTGTTATATTGTTTTAGGTATGTATATCCATATACTAATTGTAATTTAATACGTTGCAGATCCGCATTCAAATACTTTATTGCTGTTTTGATAATCTTTTATTAAAATCTAATAACTTACTCTGCATTTTAAATGACTTCATTGGGTGAGGAAGAATTATACAATGATATCTCAATAATATTTTGATACTGGCAATAATATCTCATTTCAATAGAGCACAACAGTAATAACCAGTCAGTCTTTCATTTTCTTCATAAGATCTCCATGAGATTTCATAAAGTAAAAACACAATGTTTTATATTTATTCAAAAATACATAACCATTGCATATGCAATGCAGTCCAAAATCAGTATTTTTTTTTAAATATATTTGTACTTTTATTTAGTAAGAATGCAGACTTTTACATTTGTTACAAAAAATCAGTTTTTATTCATAAAAATGTTCTATTCATAAAAAAAATAAAAATAAACACTTAGCAGCACAACTGTTTTCAACAATTAATGATAATAAGAAGAAATGTTTCTTGAGCAGCAAATATATTGCATATCAGAGTATTCGAATGATTTCTGAAGAATCACGTGACACAAGACTGGAGCAATGATCCTGAAATTCAGCTTTGCTTACAGGAATAAATTACATTTGAACATCTATTAAAACAGAAAACAGATCTTTTAAATTGTAATATTTCACAATATTACAAGATTATCACAATAGTAGTACATTATTAATATTTACTATATTTTGGTGAGCATAAGAGACTTCTGTGAAAAACAACATTTTGACATTAGTGTACCTTTGATTAAAAAACCTCAGAGCTCATAGCAAATCTGTTATTAAAAATCAATTTCTTTGTATCACAAATGAACGGGACTGCTTCACGCAATCAAATCCTGAGGAATAAAATCCCCTCATACAAAACGATGTTTCCACCCAAAAATGTGTTGCATTAGAGCAGTTATAAATGCACTAAAAATGCTGTCTGGTGTAATCTTTAGCTTGCTGTACAGAATCCAGAAGAGTGAAGCAACACAAGTCAATATCTGACCTGAAGGTCCTTATGTTTATTAATCTCTTATTATATAAATGCTTTATCTGATGGCCTGTCCTCCGTTCCCTCCTCCACGCAGAGCCGACGTGCCAAGGAGAGATGGTCCGTGAGCTGCTCAAGCGTAATATGGGTCATAAAAACTGCACCTCCACCAGTAAAATGGCTCGGTGTCCAAGCGCCTGCCGCTCGGGCCTGTGCTGCGCCCCCACCAAGAGCCGGAGACGGAAGGTCAGCTTCAAGTGCTCCGACAGATCCTCCTTTTCTGAGGAGATGGAGACCACCGTGGAGTGCGGCTGCACAAGGTGCCCATTGTAATATTAGCCAACCTTCCCCCCTCGTCCCAAACCTGGAGAAGAAGACGGAGAGGAAAAGAAAATATATTGTAAAATAAAAAAAACACAAATAGAACTTATTTTTATTAAGGGATGTTTTTTTAAAGAAAGAGACTGCTTTTATGATGTTGCTTATATGAAACGTAATTTTGTATCGTCGGACAAAATCACACAGATTAACATTCCTGAAAATATACGAATGATATAAATATGTATAAATCTATATAAATGTACAACCTAACCTGAGAATTAATTCGGTCTGCGTATTGCATGTCTGTTGTGAAGTGTGAGAGCGGAGAGAAATTGTAATGGAGGAGCTGAAATGTGCCCAATCAGGCGAGGACTCTCTAGACTCTCTAACACAGGAAGCGGTGAGCCAACTTCCTGTGCTCTGGTGGCGGCAACAAATGAACTGTTTCCTAACGGACCTCAGAGACCTCACCTGTGGATTTCAAGGACGGAGCTTCGAGTGGGATGGGCTGATATTTTGTACTTTAGGTGTTGCTTTGCAAAGCTCATCGGCGTGGCTCTGGTTTACAAGCTGCAACTCATCGGAGGGAATTTTTTGCATGACTGCATGGAAGAGTTAAATGTGAACGGTCAGGCAGTAAAGCTATTGTAGTAACTATGATAGTTAAAAGCTCTCTACCTGTTTTATCTTGTACAGTTGAAATCCAAATGCAATCGTCGCAGGTGATGCAGGTGACCGCGTCTCTGGTGCAAAGCACTTCATACTGACGTAGCATTCCGTCATAACCGTCCTTTACTAAAATATTAAATGCAAATGTATTACACCCATTACTACTGTATTGTTTCATGTGTACCCTTTTTGTTAAAATTTTTCAGATGTAACACTTAGTGTCTTACTCAGAGAGCCCGAGGTCTATAGATATTCCCAAGGAAAAGCGAATCAGTGTTAATGAACATTCCTCCTCGTTCTGTCTCGCCCCTGTTCACCACATACTGTTGTATAAGGTTGTATAAGGTAGGAATCCCCAGTGAACGATGTAACTGAGCTTGTGCAGGAAGTGTCATGTTAGCACCTCGAATCAGAAGACTGGTTGTTATATGGTGCATTTTCTAATAATGTTTTGTTAAATATGAATTAGAGAGTGATGATTAACTTACAGTGAATGTTGAATTAAACTTGTAATGAAATACACAGTTGGGTTTTTTGTGATTTTTCAGTTTTTTTTGTAAGCTTTTTCAGTAAGGTCTTTTTTTTTTTCTTGTAAATTTGTCAAACGTACAGTAATGTTCATATGCACCTGGAACCAGTATCCAGATCAGCAAAACCTAGGGACATATTATCAGTTTTTGGTCAAAGGTGTTATGCGTAAATTTATTTGTCCTATATTAAAATGACTTTCCCAGTTTTATATTCCGAGATAATGCTGGTTTACTTCCTTAAAAAGTAAATGTGTCCCTGGACCACAAAACCAGTCATAAGGGTCAATTTATAAATAAATAAGCTTTCCATTGTTGTATGGTTTGTTATGCTAGGACAATATTTGGCTGAGATACAACTATTTGAAAATCTGGAATCTGAGGGTGCAAAAAAATCTAAATATTGAGAAAATCATCTTTAAAGTTGTTCAAATGAAGTTCTTAGCAATGCATATTACTAATCAAAAATTAAGATTTAATATATTTATGGTAGGAAATTTACAAAATATCTTCATGGAACATAATCTTTACTTAATATCCTAATGATTTTTGGCATAAAAGAGAAATGTATAATTTTGACCCATGCAATGTATTGTTGGCTATTGCTACAAATATACCCCAGCGACTTAACACTGCTTTTGTGCTCCAGGGTCACAAATGCTGTTTTTCTTTTCTTTCCATAATATTTCTCTATTTTTCATTAAGTAATCTGACATTTCAATGTCATATTTCAGATCACCAATTATGAACAGTAATTATGTGTATACTGTATATTTGTTCCTATATCCAGTAATATAATAATTGTATAATTTTCCAATTAAAATTGTATTTGTCACATACATAACATACCATACATAGTATGACATGCAGTGAAAGGCTTTTTTATGACCACTCCGTTACAAAAAAATAAAAAAGAAGAAGTACAGATCTAGAAACTAGAACGTACAGATAGACGAATATCAACGTCTCAGGTTACGTATGTAACCCTAGTTCCTCGAGGGAACGAGACGCTGCGTCGACAAACGCTAGGGGAACGCCTTCCGCGATCCACGCTCTGAATCGTATGTGAAATCAGTCCAATAGCTGAACGGGACGTCACGGCGGATGACGTCATGACCAGGAAGCTATAAAAGCACGTGCGGCGGAGCCCGCGTCAGCTTCTAGGAATGAAGCAAGCGCCGGCAGGGACGCCGGAAGTATGGCACCAAGACGCAGCGTCTCGTTCCCTCGAGGAACTAGGGTTACATACGTAACCTGAGACGTTCCTCTTCAGGAACTCGAGCTGCGTCGACAAACGCTAGGGGAACGAGAATGCCCACGCCGCCAGACTTCCAAATCTCTGCCTAGTGTGGAAGACTGCACAATTTATGGATTATTATAAATGGATTATATTATTATATACGGATTATATTAGATTCATGGATTTATATTTTTTATTATATTTATGGAGGCTCAATTCTGGCCTGAAATCAGCCCAATGATAGCAAAATGATGTCATGAGTTGTGTTTTTCTTATTTCCCATTATATGTATTTGGGTATCTCTGGAATGTTTTTGCATACTACAACATGCCGTTTAGATGAATGTGAATGGCACAAGGTTGCAAAATGGTGTTTTTGAAGTGTTTCTTAATAGAACCATTTTTTCTTAGTGTGAAGAACATTTTATTAATCTGAAGAAGATTTTTCCACTGCAAAGAATGCTTTGTTTAATGAAAAGGTTCTATGGATGTTCTTCGTGGATCCATGGAGTAGATTAGATGCTAATGAAGAAGGTTTGTTGTTAAGAGTGTGTGTGTGTGTGTGTGTGTGTGTGTGTGTGTGTGTGTGTGTGTGTGTGTGTGTGTGTGTGTGTGTAGAGAGAGAGTTT